CGTAGGCATCCGTAATGGTGTGGGAGATGCTGTCAGAGAGCTCCACCTGTCAATCAATAACAAGAGAGCCAATCAGGGATATGGAACTTATGGGAACGATGTGTGCTGTTGAGATGATTACATACGAGATACACGCCATGAAGAATGTTTCATTAGAGGTGTTTGTGGTGAAAGGGCTGATCAGCGGTTTTTGGGTGAGTGAGGGGGGGCATAGCTAACAGGAAATGATAGGTACAGGGGTGGCTTGAGTTTATGATGCACGCTGGATTTGAACATGCATCTTCCACATAAACAAGATGACATTTCATTCAATTTTTACATGAATACAAACATTAATATAGGAAAAACAAACAAATACATAAATCAATAAAATTGAATTCATTCATTCATTCAGATTGTTTGTTGTGGCAACTCCTAATGGGAGCAGCCGAAAGTGAGAGAGATAAGAATGCAGACATGAATAAATATATTTAAGATTTTTTTGTTTTATATATATATATATATATATATACATATACTGTATATATATAATAATAATAATAATAATAATAATAATAATAATAATCATAATTATTATTATTATTATTACATTATCATTGTCACAATTTCTTATCACTGTATTTGCATTTGTACTTGCATTTGTATAATGCCACTTTATAATTACAATCATTTGAACTAAAACATTTTAGCACAAATGATAATCTCATAGAAATTGCAACATGTCAGAGTCCTCAAATTTGTTGATAGTCCACTTCCTCTTTGTGTGCTGCAGTGGATTTGCACACACCTGAGGACCACCTGTGTACTCTTTGGTGCCTGTGGGTAATGAGGGTCACTTGACCACAACAGAGGAGGGGGCACAAAGAGGCTGGGAAGTCCCGGGCATGCTTTGAGCAGGGGGAAATTTGACTAATGCACTGCAGCTGAGGCCTGTGGAGGGAGATGAGTGATGGTAGAGACAGCCCAGCGTCTATGACTCATCCCGCGCATCCATCACTGGCCTGTCCTGCACTGCTGAAGCTCCAATCTGGAACTCAAAATCATGTGTGGCGCTCAGTCGCAGATGCTCAATCTGCGCTTTTCTTGCTCTTTATCTGTCACACTGCAGGACTGCAGAAAATTCAGTTTTCTTTTTCAATTTATGAGTTGGAAGGTGAATTTAATTTACCTTGACCTACAGAATGCTGAATTGCAATGACAGGAACCGGATTTATTTTTTATTTTTTAAATTTAATTAAAATGTTATAGTCACATAACAGAAAGGAGTTTCATGAGTCCAACACAACATTTGTGAGAGAATGTGACTAGTTTGCATTATTCCGACAAATTGTTTTCTCTGATATACATTTTGTCAACTGATAAGACTTTATGGACCATGGTATAAGAACACTTTTTTTTCCCAGAAAGACAATATCTATTCAATATTTATTTTCTAAACACCTGCAACAGTTTTTTACAATTCTGCACCTGTTTTCTAACTCCATTTAAAATCAATTCAAATTCAGGAATTCAATTAAAATGTAAAGGCGTTCTCAGTTCAATTCTGAATGTGCACAGACCTCTCGCACACATGCCCGGTAGAAGTCAAACACAGAGGTGGGAGAATTACTTCTCCAACAAAGCCAGATCCTAGTGCAGTATACAAAGTGCAAAGCATATTTTCTGAAGAATTTATTATTACTCCCAAGTGCAGCTGTATAACACAGAGAAAGAGTGTGCGGAAAAATTGGAGTGTGTATGCTGTGAGATTTAGAGAATACCTCATCTACACCTGAGCAGCTCACAACAAAGACCAAAGAGCTTTTTTTTTTCTTTTTTTTTTGTGAATTTCCACTAGCAGCGTCTGCGAGTCTTTCCATCGAGTGTACGTAGACAAACTCAGCATGTGTGGCGGTTAGTCTCCGCATTTACATTTTAATTGAACTTTATCTTTCATAATTGGAAAAGAGAGCATTGCTCATTTCCCCAGTGCTCCTCAAAACCCACAAAACAAAAGCGGCATCCTTTTCATTTCAGATTAAACCGCATTCTCTGCGCTTTCCCCACAGTGGCCGCTGAGCACCTGGGCTGTCAAGTGTTTGATTCGATTACTATTAAATTGCAGCATTTCGTCCATCTATTGTTCTATATTTTGAGCTGAAATAAATGGCTTTGAATTGTAAATGTATTCTTTTCATTTTCAAATTTCTCAGTTGGTGCGTCTACTTCTGAATGGACGTTATTGGAGAAAGATCGGTATAGATACGGCATTGACCAGCTGAACACTCAACCGATGGCATTTGTTTGGCTGAACAATGGAAGACGGGGAGTGTTTGTGAAACATGCAACACAGGATCATTGGAAATACGTGCCTCTACCTATATCTCTGCACAACTAAAATCAGAAAGTATGATTAACAGGGCCAGAGTTTTGATTAAGAAAGCCTAATTTTCACACAATTCTTTCCACATTATTATGTTATGACTTCAAAATAATTTTAACATGCTACGAGATTTGAAAACTGGACTTTTCAACGTCAGTGTCACATATGCCACGGTCATGTATTGAACACACATTTTAGCACTATTCACTGGACATTTCACTTTGAAGCTGCTGTGAAACGTGCAGTAAGGTACATAATATGGGTTGGAAACGTGTCTGGTAACAGTCATTATCTTTGCAGTTTAATTTGTTCATCAGCTGATTTTATTTACAAGGCTGGTTTAAAACTATGAGGACATGGACGAACCGAATCAGATTTGCTGCAGCCATTGAAAGCCATTGAAAGGTCAATGGACATTTAATGTTTGGTTCCACCTGCAATTCTGTTCCACAAACCATTTCCCAATTGCTACACTTTTGTGAAAGCTGTCAAGACCAGAACTGGGGGTGGGAGTCAAAATGTCCTTCGCAAGCCCTGTAATTTGAGGATACATACTGTAAACCCTCAAATAAAACACTACCATCAGTTAGAAATAACTAGCTGGTGGAAACCCCTAACCAAAGATGAGCTTTAAAAGCTAGAAATGTGAGCATCAGCTTCCTGTTATCTACTTCTGGATCAGAAACTGAAACAGAGAGGAAGACAGATAAAAAGAATCGAGACAGACAAGACAGTATGCATCTGATGTCTGAGACATGCTATTAGAGAGAGCTATTTATATTGCCGTATCATTATGTACCGAACACGCTCTGACCCTCATACATGGCTACACCTCGACAATCCCAGGTGCCTCGCTGCATTCTGGGCTTCGTTCAGTACGGCCAAAGCCCATAAATAAGATTAGGTGTAAGTCGTGTCATTGGAACAGCGAGGAGAGGATTTCGGTCCTACATCGCATATTGCAGTGAGTTAAACAATGAAACAGCTGCACATAATATCACTGGGTCCTCATGAGACAAGATAAAAGCTGTCTTTGCGTGTAAATCTGAGCTTTTGTCCCAACTAGCTGATCAGTTTCTATTTCTGTAGTGTTACGCTGAGTAGTCCCACCCACGATGAGATTTCATTAGTCCAAAACCGAGCTACATATAACTGTATATTAAACAGTAAGGTCAAAATGACATAAAAATGACCATATTTACTTTAATAATACATGTTTCTTGTCTTATTGCAAATTATGTGTGAGCTGCATTTCATGTTGACTTCAAACATGTTTTGATTCGGTGTGATTTCTTTGTAGACTTTTTGTAACTAAAATTATTTAAAACAAATTTGGGGCAATTGAAATAAAATAAAATATAAGTATTAGATGGTAAAAAAAAAATATAAAAATAGTAATAAATATACAGCCTTATCTCACTTCTACTCGTGTGATATTGCGTTTATACAACAGTTTGATGGCACGAGTGTGTAAATAAATTAGAAACAACAATGGAGTGTCTTTAAAGGCCCTCTTTTGTGCAGAACTACTTCCTTCCGCTACAGATTTAAATCTAAAGTTGACAGTTTAACA